CTTTAGTTTTTGTTTGTCATGGAAGCTTTTTATCTCTCCTTCTATTTTCAATGACAGCCTAGCTGGATATAGTATTCTTGGCTGCATATTTTTCGCGTTTAGTGCTTTGAATATAGCATGCCAGTCCTTTCTGGCCTGCCGGGTTTCTGTGGATAGATTGGTTGCCAATCTAGTGTTCTACCATTATAGGTTACATATCTCTTCTCCCAAGCTGCCTTCAGGATTTTCTCTTTGTCTCTGAGACTTGTAAGTTTTACTATTAGGTGTCGAGTTGTTGACCTCTTTTTACTGATTTTGAGAGGGGTTCTCTGTGCCTCCTGGATTTTGATGCCTGTTTCCTTCCCCCTATTAGGGAAGTTCTCTGTTATAATTTGCTCCAGTATACCTTCTGCCCCTCTCTCTCTTTCTTCTTCTTCTGGGATCTCATTTAGTCTAATGTTGTTTCATCTTATGGTATCGCTTATCTCTCGAATTCTGCTCTCGTGATCCAGTAGTTGTTTATCTCTCTTTTTCTCGGCTTTTTGATTTTCCATCATTTGGTCTTCTATATCGCTGATTCTCTCTTCTGCCTCATTTATCCTAGCAGTTAGTGCCCCCATTTTTGATTGCACCTCATTAATAGCCTTTTTGATTTTAATTTGGTTAGATTTTAGTTCTTTTATTTCTCCAGAAAGGGTTTCTCTAATAACTTCCATCCTTTTTTCAAGCCCAGCTAGTATCTTTAAAATCATGATTCTGAACTCTAGGTCTGACATCGTACTAATGTCCGTCTTGAGTAAGTCCCTGGCAGATGGTACTATCTCTTGTTCTTTTTGTTGAGGTGATTTTTTTCCTCTTGTCATTTTGTCCAGAGGAGAATAGATGAATGAGAGAACAAAATGCTAACAGGGTAACAACGTCCCCAGAAAATATACTCCAAACAAATCAGAAAAGACCTGAAACCAGGGGAAAAGAAAGGGAAAGAAAGAAAAAAGTAAAAGAAAAAGATAAAAACAAACAAAAACAGAACAAAACAATAAAAAGAGAACATGATCAAATATGATCAGGCTGGTGCAGAGATCAGTGCCACACATTAGATTTTGGGTGTATTTTGATCTGTTAGAAGAACGTGCCTCCAAAATTTTAAAGAAAGAAAGACTTATATATGTACAAAATAAGGGTTGATACAATGAAGGGATGGAATATGAATGTAAAGATGAAAATTATAAAAAATTTTATAAAAGGAATTGATAAGAAGTTGTTTGAAAAAAGAAGAGGATTTAAAAAAAAAGGGGGGGAGAGAATGTGATCAGGCAGGAGACTAGAACAAAGCCATACACTAGAGATTTATTTAGGGTATATTTTGATATGTTAGAAGAAACTGTATCTCAAAATTTTAATGAGAGAACAACTTATATATATATATGCCTAAAATAATGTTAACTAGTATGAAGGGATAGAATATGACTCTAAAAATGAAAAATAAAAAGGTTTTTTTAAAAAAGGGATTGATAAGATCTTGGTTGAAAAAGGAAAAAAGAAAAATTAAAAGAGTTAAAAAAATTAAGTTTGAAAGACTAAAGAATCATGGTAGAAAAGCCATGAATTCTATGTGCAGTATTCCCCTAACGCTGGAGTTCTGCTGTTCTCATTGATGGGTAAACTTGGTCTTGGCTGGCTTTTCTTGCTGATCCTCTGGGGGAGGGGCTGTTGCCGTGGTTCCCAAATGTCTTTGCTGGAGGCGGAATTGCCCCGCCCTTGTCCGTCCAGGCTAAGTAATCTGCTAGGGTTTGCTCTTGGGAGCTTTTGTTCCCTGCAAGCTTTCCCTACAGCTTTGGAGGACGAGAGTGAAAATGGCGGCCTCCCAATCTCTGCCTCGGAGGAGCCGAGAACTTGGCCCCGCTCCCCAGTGCGCCCCAAGAGAAAAGCAGTCCATCACTCCTGTCTCCCTGTCTCTGGCTGCACTCCATGCTCACCCGGCCTGTGACTGAGCGTTTCTATCTCTGGCACCCAACTTGGTGTGGAGTCTCCAAACCCAGCAGATCCCTGTGGTGTGCTCCCACACTCCTCCTCCAGGGGAGGAAGGGGAGTCTCCCCGGCTCTGCCGCTTGTTGGGTCCCTGCTGGAGGAGCAGTGGCCTGACTGTGTCGCAGATCACAGTTTATGGCAACCATGAGCTGAGAGCCCGCGCCTCGGCTCTGTCTCTGCAGTGGGCTTCCCCGCTCTGATACCCAGGAGCGCTGCTGCACTCAGGCACCCCTGGTCTTTCTGTGACCCTGAGGGTCCTGAGACCACACTGTCCCACGAGTGTTCCACCCCCCACTTAGCCACTGGAGCGAGTCACTCAGCGGACCCGCCTTCTAAAAGTTCCGATTTTGTGCTCTGCTGGTCTATCACTTGCCAGAAGCAGCTGATGGAGTCCCCCTCCCCTGTCATCTATCCTCCCGAATATCCCCTCGGATTCACTTCTCCACACGTCCTACCTTCCAGAAAGTGGTTGCTTTTCTGTTCAGAGAGTTGTTGCTATTCTTTTCTTCGATCTCCTGTTGAGTTCGTAGGTATCCAGAATGGTTTGATCCCTATCCAGCTGAATTCCTGGGACCAGATGAAATCCAGGTCTCCTACTCCTCCGCCCTCAATTTCTAACATTTTTTAATTCTTTGAACTTATAAAAAAGAAAATCTATTTGGGATTTGGTTTGGACTGCTTAAATCTATTAAAGGAAAAGTAAATGTTTAAATCTTCATTTAGTACTACATAGACTCATTTGAAAATATTTTTCAGCAATTTGCCTGCCCTGGTTTAGAATTACTAGGTCTAATAAATATATGAAATACCGAGGTATTCAGAAAATGGGTGGGTCTTTCAAAAAGAAATTACTTTAAAAATGCATTTCAAAAAAATCTTTAGTATTCATATTAACCTAAGTTTGAGATGTTTAAAATGCCTTGTGTTTTATACAGTAGAAGATAAATTGTATAAGACAACTGGGACCTTGCCTGATCATTTCAGAGTTTATAATCCTAAGGGGTCCCTTAACATCACAGCATGTTATTTGTGGCTCAGTAGATTTCACCATTACCATGCACTGTGCTCTGTGGCAAGTTGTTTCTCAGTTATTAAAAAGACATAATATAAAAACATTCATTAAAAAACATTCCTAGAAAAATGTTGTTACTTGAATGCTTCCACAGTTGAGACTCCCACATGAGCAATCTTCTGTTTTCTGTTAATGATACATTTTCAAACATTTAAGATATGGCTTCCCAGTGGTATTTTATTAAATATTAATTATATACTATTCTACTAATGTCAAATATAATGCACTGATTTTTATAATAGAAATTGGAGATATTAATTCAACTTGATTGAACCATGTACTGAGCTAATATTTTTTTCCAAGGACTGGGGATGGGGTTTTGCCAGGTAGGTAAAACTTCTAATCCTCTTGTGACTAATTACATTTATTTGTGAAATAGTGATTTGGGATTGGAATTAGAATCTGCATTTCATTACCTTCATGGAAGACCATGAAGTTGACTCTTTGGTACAGTAATGAGGACGTGGTTTTATTAATATTGTGCTTTAACCATCAGCTGAGTCTATGTGAGACATATATTTTGGGAGCCATAGGCAGGTATGGGTTGGAATAAGACCCCTAGAAGCTATCAGAGCCCAAATATAACATGATGAGTCACTTGACCATATTTGGATATTTTATTTACATGGACTAATCTTTCTTGAGCTGCAAATATTTGTCATTCCTTCTTTATTATTTTATGGTAAGTATTTAAATGAAAGTAATTTGGTTGCATTCAAATACAAGTGATTATAGCAACCACTGGCATTTATTCTGTTAAAACAAAATTGTGACTGTAAGTCGATCACATTTCCAGGATTAAGCTATTCTGTTTCTGTTTTTCTCTCTAAATAGTTAACACAAATTATGCGAACTGGACAAAACACTTGGGAAAGTAAAAACATCCTTGCTGTTTCATTTGCTCCACTTATACAACCAAGTAAGAATGATAATGGCAAACCAGATTCTGTAGGACTCCGTAAGTAATCGTTGGTCCTTTCCAATTGAAATGTGACTTAGATTGTTCAACTCTTATGCTTAGGATTTAATGGACTATATAATTATGAAGAATTAAATAGGCAGTAATATATTCAATAGATTTATTCAACTTTTTTATGGAGGCAGGTTAAAGCCCCTACCTTGTACCAGGTGCTGTTAGCTGCCTTCATGGACATATGAAAAGAAGGGGCAGGTCAAAGAAAACATGAATTTATTATAGTTGTGAATTTATTAATTATATTAAATTTGTTGGCATTTTCTATACAGAAGGACAGCAAATGCAAAAGCCTTTATTTGGGCTGAAAAGAGCTTGGTTGTTCCAAGACCAGAAATAAGTTTCAGGGTAGTTGAAGCTCATTGGCTAGAGTGTAGAAGATTGATTATTACAAGACTTTTCTTATACTCAAAGGGAAAATCAGTGTTGGTATGGACAGAGTTGTTTGAAGGTAGAAAAATAGTAGACTACATGGAAGATGGTGGTAGAGAAAAAAGGTGGTAGAGAAAAAAGGAGTATGTAAAATTTTGCCTTGGATAGCTATCTGAGTGATGGTACCATTTATTGCTGTTTGCAAGACTGGCAATGGAATAGTTTGGAAATAGGTGTCGGAAGATCAGATATTTTATTCTGGCCATGTTTGAGTTGGCATGCACAGGTCAGATAGTCGAGTTAGGTATAAACCTACTGTGTGAGGGAGGTATAAATTAATCCTCAATGTAAAAATGGCATTTTAAGCTATAAGAAGAGATGAGAGCACTTGGGGGAGAGTGAGGAGAGGTGTTTGTGTTAGAAACCAAGAAAAAACATTTCAAGGAGAGGGGAGTGATCCACTTATTGCAGCTGAAAGACGAAAAAGAGGTGAGAGTAGTATTAATAGGTTTGTGATTTATCATGATTTTGAAAATCAGTAAATAAAGTTCTGTACCAAAAATGAAGTTTACCATGGTAGACTTCTTCCTTTAATTTGCTTTTTAAATGAATTTATTTCTGAGGAACCTGGATTTATATTTAATTTTATTTTCATTTCATTTTTCCCTCTTTTGAACTTTATGATTTTTGTGGTCTGTTTTTCCCTGTTTAGGTTCTTAACCAATGGAGAGATGGATTTGGCGGGGAGATAGCTAGGAATTGAAATGTCAGTTTTATCGCCTACCAAAGTAGGTGGGGGGAATATGACTTAGGTCTGCACATTAAACTATTTTCTCCCTCCTTTTTCCAAACATTAGAATTACAGGTTATTTATGACAGTTTTCTTTACCTATCCGTAACTGGTTAGAGAGTCATAAAGAGAAGTAATGAAAACAATGCTGTGACACTGTTTGGTCTTGACAATGGCCTAACTTAACCATTAGCATGATGTGTACCTGTAGAGATATAGAAGTGTCCTTACAGAGGGCCCTGTAGATTTCTGTGCATCAGGCATGTAGGTGTTTTTCTTTCTAACAGACACTGTTGTAGCCTGAGCATTCCTCTTTATCTGACAGTTTTCCTACTTTAATGTCCTTTAGAAGAGTGTAGGTTGTAAATGTGGTTTTACAGTGACACAGTTATGAATGGCATGGATGATGATATGTTATAAATGGGCAATTTTCATTCTCAGTTTAAGGATGTCAATACAAATAGATCTAGGTAGTTCCTTGGTTGTGTTGATCGACATGACTGTGAATGTAGAGTAGGGATAAATTTGGTTAAAAAAAGGTTAAAATGGAAGACAAGCCTAAATTAAAAAAAAAAATTCATCATGCCTCTAAAGTATTTACAGGTGAAATGATCTGTCTAACTTTTCATCAGAATAATGTGGTGGAGATGGAAATAGGAAATGGCAGTGTTGATGAAGGAAGATTAGCTAGAAGGGATGGTTGTTGAAGCTGAGTGTCTGGTACATGGGGTTCCTTATACTATTAACTCTCTTGTGTATACTTGAAAGTTTCTGTAATAAAAAGAAAAAAAAATTATCAGCTCCAAAAGGAATTTATAAAAATAAGTCAGGAATTGTGATTTTGTAAAAAAAAATAAAGCTTCACTGTGAATATTTCACAGAATGAAAAATGTTCTGAAAATATTGTTTGTCAAAATTTAATAAGATGTTTGGAGAATAAAACAAGTTTCCTCTTCTGTTAAAATTGCTTTCTGTTTAGAGAACATTATTTCATTAATTATAGGGGGTTAAAATAAGAAAGAATGTTAGCAAAAATAAAAACAACTGAAAACATACACATGTAAATTTTTTGCCAGATATATTTTGTGGCTCTGAAATTGCCCACATAAACAGTTACTAAATGTAATTATCACTTTTTCTCAGGTTTATTTGTCTCTACTTTTGATTCAACTTAAAGTCCTCTTTCTTTTTTGGGGGGGTATACAAACTGCTTTAACTTAAGGGTAGGCCCTTTAGAAAGGGGTGAAAGGAAAAAGGAAAAAAACTCTATACCAGCTAAAGGAAAACTGTTTCCTCTACACACCACCCATTGAACACTTCTTTCTGTATTCCAGATCTGTGGGTTTTTCCACACCAAGCAATTCTCCAATTCTTTGCGGACACTAACTAGGTGTCCTGTGACCTAACTCCTTTCTGACACTAACCCGTGTTAGCATAGACCCTAAAGGTTAAAGGGCTCTCCCCATAAGGCTGCCCCCTCCTCCTCCAGCTGGAGACACCAATCACAAGTACAGGTTTTCATCTGTGTTTCTGATCGCCTGGCTATAAATCAGAAACTCCCATGACCCCTTTCTAGAGTTTGATAATTTGTTAGAGCGGTTTGCAGAACCCAGGAAAACAGTTTACTTACTAGATACCAGGTTTATTATCAAAGTATCCAACACAGAAACAAAAACAGATGGAATTGACACATGAAGGGTTTATGTTCATCAGCCCAGAAGCTCTCTGAACTCTTTCAGTTAAGGCTTTTTATCGAGGTTTGATTGATTAAATCATTGGCCATTTATGATTAATTCAACCTCCAGCCCCTTTTCCCCTCCCAGAGGGTGCTAGTGAAAGCCCCAATCCTCCAAGCACATGGTTGGTTCCCCTGGCAACCAGCCCAGCATCCTCAGGGGCTTACCAAAAGTCACCTCATTAACATAAACTCAGGTGTGGTTGGAAGAAACCTGTTATGCTTTTATCACTTATATAATTCCAAGTGTTTTCAGAGCTCTGTGTCAGGAATGAGAAGCCAAATGGATATTTCTTGTTAGTAAATCACAAGGGACAAAAGAAACTTCAGAAACCGTGGCACTAAACCACCTGAACTATATGAAGTTGCTGTTTCTGTTGGCTAAAAAATGACCCCAAATCATCACTTTTGTGAGTTTTACCTAAATATAATGCCCTTTTCAATCTTTGTTAATAAGTAAAAATGGAAGTACTGACTGCTAGGTTCCTATGAAATCTTAATAGAGACTACCTTTTGGGAAACGAATAGAGCTTACATGTGTGTGTGTTAGAGATAACCTTAATTATAATTTTGTAGTGAAAGCTTCAATTCAAAATAAAATTTTAAAAGCAGTCAGGATTAGCATTGTCTAGTCCACTAAATCCTTATCTCATAACTGGAAGCATTAGAAACAAGGGAGTGTTAAAGAATAGAAAATATGGGGGACTTTTGAATAGCTAGTGCTGAGAATTATCTACAAGTTTTTGTATCATTCAGAAAAACTTAAATGCAGCTCATGTGGGTACTATTTTAGGACTTAAGGGAAGTCTGAATCTTTTCCATTGTGGATCTAGTTGGTTCTTTATGAAGTTCAGGTATTCTGACAGTTTAGGATTGAAAGGTTCGTCATTCTAACAGTGTCCTTGGAATAACAGTATTGCAGAGTAGGAACATAATTAAGGTGTGAAAAGAGAGTACCAAAAATGTAAGAGAGGTTTAAGAACAAAGACCAGCCGAAAAGACTAATTATAGCTCTGTTTCTTAGCTCTTACAATTCCCAAAACTCTTCTATAGATTTATTCTCCACCAGCTTCCCCTGCCCCTCCTTTTTCAGAGCTTCCTCAGGCATAGGCCTTTCTTCTCTGTCTATACTCCCTCTTAGGTGCTCAGGGGGAGGCTGATGGCTCCCACTTTCTGTCCCCAGCCTGAGTCCCAGAGGCATGATTCAGCTGCTTGTGGTTGGGCAGGAACATAGACTGTGCAGTTAAACACCCATGTTCAGGTCCCAACTCGTGTCACTTATTATGACTTCTGTGACTGGGATCAAGTTATTTCACCTCTGTCTACTTCCTTTTCCTCACTTAGTGTGAAGTGTGTTATTGCCTGTAACGTGCTGAAATGGTGCTCAGTATATCACTGTTGTTTTTCTTCCTGAAATCTCCATTCAGGAAATGTAACAGATATTTTAGATTTCATAAAGAACAAAATTGTGATTTTCTTCTCCCCAACTACTCTTCCTCTTTGTCATGTCAATAATTGACCATTAGCGCCTGCCTAGTTGCTTGGGCCAAAAATTCTCCTACATCTAATCCCCATCCATCCTGTCTTCAAAATATGTTGCAAATTTGTCCACTTCTCTACGTCTTTACTGACACCCTCCCTTACTCCTATCTGCATCAGAGCATGGTCAGGTCTCAGGTGGATTACTGGAGTGTTCCAGCTGATCTCCTACTCCCTCTCTTTATGATCCATACTCCATAGAGGAGCCTGAGTGCCATTTTCATTGCATTATGACCCTGCTTTTTAAAAACCTTAAGTAGCTGCATGGCCAGTACAAGGCACATTTTTTACCAAGGCCTGCAAGATCAACCCATGATCTTACCTCTTACTGTTTTCTTCCTGCTCCAAACTTCATCTGCACTAGCCTTCTTTCAGCTCCTTGAACATGTTGAGCTCATTTACCTCTTAGGGCTTTGCTATTTCCTCTGCCCCAAGATATTTATATGTCTGTTTCCTCATATCATTTAATCTTAGCCTAGGCATGACTTCCTCAGGGAGACCGTTTGGACTACCCAGTCAGAAGTAGCTGTACCCCATGTTACTTTCTGTGCCATTGGTGTTTTTTCTCCTATCCTCTTTTTCATAATTATTTTTTTATCTACCCCCCTCCCCCAAATATAAAATCTCCATAAAAGCAAGGACTTACTTAGTCTGAAGCATCCACTATATGTTAGTTCTTTAATAGTAGGTGGCATATAGTTTAACACATAGGTGTTGAGTGAATGTTAAACAGCTTAAACAGTTTGGGGAGGTAGGCAGAACAGGTGATATTTTACACATTTCAACATATAAGGGATGAGATCCCACATGTTTTTACTTACCAGTGTTCACAAAACTCCGTCATTGGCAGAAGCAAGACTTGAACTCAGAATGTTCTGTATTGTTTCAATTTCCATCTCATATAGTTGGGGGCAGGCCCAGGCAGTAGAGCAAACAGTTTCTAACTAAACATGCCCGGTCTGGCTCTTTGGAATTCTTTTCTAGTTCCGGTTTCAGTAGGGAGTTGAAAAAAGTTTGAAGAAAAGGTTTTGTAGTGGGCCACTTAGGTATGTGCTAAGGGATCTTTGAATCATTCTGAGAAGTCTCCCATGCTGGAGTTTAAAAAAAAAACAAACAAAAAACAAACATAAAACAAACATCTCAGAGTGTATCTAATTTGTGGTAGGGTCTGGTGTTCAGAACACAGGAAGCACTCTGAGCCTTGGACAGGATGGTGCACTGTGCAGGCCTAGTGCCTACAGGGCCCTGTGAGGAGCACAAAGAGGAAATGCTGTGGCCCCTCACTCCTGGAGCTTATAGTCTGGCAGTAGAGAGAGACCACATACCAAAGAGTTACTAAAGAAGGCAGGATTTCATAGGTATAACAAAAAAGTTTGCAAGGGAGGTATCCAGAAAAGAGTACCAAAAGTAAAGAAATAAAAAAATAGTGAAGATTTTTTAATGCTGTTTAAACTGGAGGAGGGTTATATTTTATTTTGTTTAGGCATTTGAGAGGGATCCTTGATGACAGTTTTATTTCTGCAGGGATGGAAACTTAGTGGGACTAGAAAATTAATTTCTCTATGTATAAAGTATTGGAACAGGCTACAAAGAAGAGTGTGTGTTCTAGGGCTTATGCGTTCATAGGTCTGTGGGAGATGGGAGTGAAATGACAGACCCGATAGGGTACAACTGTGATGTGTTTGATAGAAGTAAACATCAATAACTTAAGGAAATCTGTGGTGTGTTTTTGGGTTATTAAATTGTTTACAGCATGATTTGTGGTGGCCCTTTGCCTATGAACCAGTTCTACTCACTGATTTACAGAGAAAAACTGTGTGTGTGTGTGTGTGTGTGTGTGTGTACGTGTTTTTGGAATAGATCGTTCTCATATGGTTTTCAACATCAAAAAGTATAAGAAATAGTATAAAATCTCTCTTTTATTCTTGTTGTCTAACTACTTCATTCTCATGTAACCTGTTTCTAAGTTCTTACTTATTCTTTCAAAGAATTTTTATGCATATATATGGGGACACACATATCTGTACATAGAAAACTTTCCACTGTCCACAGAATTTAGAATGGTGGCTTGGCAAATAGTAAGCATCTTGAAATCTTTGTTAGATGAAAGTCAGAGTTTTTATACTTTCTGTGTTTTCTAACGTTTGCTAAGAAATACTTGTTCTGCGAAGAAATGAGCAATATATGATGTTTTACTTTTTTATGTTTTATGTGTGTGTGTTTTGTTTTTGTTTTTGTTTTTTTAGCCCCCTGTGCTGTCAGGAATCTCCAGGACTTGGCTCGTATTTATATTCGACGTACACTTAGAAATTTCATAAATGATGAGATGCAGGCCAAGGGGATTCCTCAGAGGGCTCCACCAAAAAGGAAAAGAAAGAGGGTTAAACAGAGAATTAATACTTACGTATTTGTGGGTAATCAGCTTATTCCTCAGCCTCTAGACAGTGAGGAGGATGAAAAAATGGAAGAAGATAACAAAGAAGAGGAAGAGAAAGATCACAGTGAAGCCATGAAGCCCGAGGAGCCACCTCAGAATTTACTGAGAGAAAAAATCATGAAACTCCCCCTCCCTGAATCTTTAAAGGCTTACTTGACATATTTTAGAGAAAAGTAACTTAGATCAAGAAGAAAGAATGCCTACTGATTATTCCTTTAGTCTTGAAAATGTAGCATTTGTTAGGAGTTAAAAGAGAATTCTTTCATCAGAGCGAATTATAGTGGAAAAAGTATAACTTGTTTCTGTCTTAGTAAAAAATGACGTATTCAGTAATTAAAAAGAATCCCTTTTATAAAATATATTTTTCTTTAAATCTTGGAAAAAATGCTGTTTTAACTCAGAGTGACTTCAAGAGTGGAATGCAACAATACTCAAGATTTGTGTACTGTAAATCCTTTTCTGATTCCTTACAGATTTGTAGTGGTGAGGCTTACATTTAATTTTGTATAAGGTTAAGTAATTGTTAAGCATATACTGATTTTTGAATTGTAGTTGTTTGCATTTCCTCTATGAAAACTTTCTTACCTAATTAGAAGATCAAATGCTGTGTAGACCCACTTACCTTACTTTGTTGCAATCACTATTACTGAGTTGCTATAGTATTCCGGGCAATATATGAGTGCAATAACAATACAGATACTGAATAATTTAGCTTTAAAAAGAAAGTTTTATGGAATTCAACAGCACTGCTACTTTTGCTTTTGAATCTATTGCCAAAAGACAGGGGAAACTATCTGCTTCTCTCATAGAGATTTTAAGAGCACATCAAGTGAGTATTAAATAAAAAATATATACCTAATACAGTTCTTAATTTGTGTGGACCCTTTACATTTTCAGTATTTAAAAATAATGAGGTTATCTTCCTTGCTGGAGTTTTAGAAGATAGTACATTTAGGATTGGTTTTTCTGTTATCCACTGTATAAAGTATTTGGTTTAAAAAATAATATCCATTGTTCTGAATGACTGTCGATAGCACAGACAGGGAGTAAACATGGGTAACAGCCTCTTTCTTGAGTTGTGCTCAGAGGCAGGACCAGAGCAGATTTGGTCAGCAGGTGCACTTTAGCAAATGGAACTCCTAGTTCATTTAAATATTTGTCTTTGACAAGGTGGAACTGAGCTAACCTACATTTACTTTGAAATTCATCTTTATGTAGTGTATGAGATAGTCACAGGAATTGTATGTAGATGCCTTTTTGCTTTGAAAATTGTGTTCAGAATCATAGTATAATCTTTGGGACCTATGTTGTGCTTATTTAACTTCTCATGGTGTGTGTGGTTTTTCGTTTTTTGGTTTTTTTTGGTAAAATTATAATGATTTTCACTTTTTTCTTAATATCATATACTTACACTATCCATCATTTGACTATTAATTATAGCTTATCAGTGATAAAACAGGTAGTAAATGCCATTGTTGGTTTCTTTTCTTCCTACTAGGACCTGAAAACAGTCATTCCTTGTTAAGAAAGTACATAGTGTAACATATTTACTACTTAGTGTCACATGGATTATGTACTTTTTAAAAGGAAAAATTTGAGAGTATCACTACCACCAGCATCACTATTGCAGTAGTTGATCAAATATGTTTAAGGAAATCCAATTAATGTATACAGTAAAAATGATTATTATCTCTTGGAAGATTCAGCTATTAGTAATACATAGATGGTTTCAGAAATCTCAGATCTGGTGATTCTGCATATTTAAAAACAAGTGTTTGAAATATTCTAAGTATGAATTCTCCCAAGTAAATGAAGATATTTTAGTAATGGGAAAGATAATTTCATGGAAGTTATTTATTTTATACCAGGGACTGGGGTTAGGGGCTAGGGTTTGGAGTTGTGTATATCTCCACAATTTTTTTTTTTAGATGATTACTAAGCTGTTACTGTTAAGAAATGTCCCATCTCATTTCTATCAAGGAAAAAAAATAGTTTTATACAATTGTCACTTGTTAAGAATGTTCATTTTATTTAAAATTGTTAGTTTTAGAGGTTTAATATCAAGTTCCCAATGCCCACATATTTTTATCTAGCACCCTTCCCTTGGCTGCCCTCTACACACTTTGTTGGTTTTGGAGCCAGTGTCCAGTTATGTAAACATACATATTCTTAAATGATGATTTTACCATTCAAAAGAGAGTTTTTGTTAAGAATATATTTGAAGATTGACTTGTTCATATGGTCTCTTATTCTGTTGACCTTAGTAAAGTGTACAGTAGATTTTCATGATCATTACATATTTTTTGTCATTGAAATGTATCTTTTGTGTTTTTAAATGCAATTCATTCATTTTACAGTTGTGACTTTATTATTGACTTTAAATAAAGAAGTAGAAATAAAAATGAAAGTTCAAGTGAAAAGCCCTTTTATCTATTAATGGGAATATATTAGAATGATTAAGAATATTTTGTGTTTGTGTTTATATTTTAATGAATTCACAGTTACTTGAGGATGGTCAATTATGCTTTATAGGTGGAAAAGTAGCAAATAAAGGTTAAGTAAAATTAATTGAAAATGATGAGGAATATATTCATGGAATTTTAGCAGCCAGATAAAACAATAGAAATAATCTAATCTAGTGTTTTTTATTTTATTTTACAGAGAGAAAGTAGGGCTGGGGAGATAGCATGATTTTCCTAAGTCAGACAGCTAGATGGAAATGGCTTGAAATAGCGTCCAGCATCTGATAAATCCAAGAAACCTTCAGCGGCACCATTACTACCAAGAAGATAATTTAAATCTACATCTCTTATTGGTTGACACATTTGGTTCTAGTCTTAGTAAAGAAAAATGTCATTAAAATAGCATACATAATGGTTAAAATACAAAAAATGTTAAGTGTTGGTTTCTAGCTGTTTGAGAGGATAAAAGTGAAGCAACACCTGTGAAATCATGGGAAGGCTTGGAAAACTATTTTAAATAAACAGTTGCATATAATTAAATTTTGTTCTCCAGTGGCCTGGCTTTCTTTTTCTCTTCTTTTTAATTTAGAAAATCTTAATACACCCATGGATATATGCTTGAAGTATTATATACAGTTGTCCATAATTGGACATCTCATTTCCTTTTGACTGTTGCCACCTCTAAAGCAGTGTAGGTTTTGTTTTTTAAATTTGTTTTTATATTCAGTATAGATGAAGGATATTTAGAAGATATATGCAAAACACAAGGAATAATTCAGTGTACCTGTACGTACATGTGTGTACCTACTACTAGATTTGACTACTGGCATTACCATGACTTGTGTGCCCCTTCCTAATCTCCTCTTAATTCCTCTCTGGGGCGTTCCTTTTGTGTTTATCACAACCTTGCCTTTTGCTATAGCTTTAGCACATATGTTTGTATCTCTAAACAATGTATCATTTGGCTTCATACATACTTAACTTTATACAAGTGGAATCATACTCTGTATTCTGCAGGTTACTTTTTCACTCCAGGTTGTCTTTCTGAGATTGTTCCATGTTGTATATAGTTAAGTTACATCCGCAACTCTCGGTTTAATTATTCATTCTACTGTTGATTGGACATTTGTTGTTACATCAAATGGTTTGCTTGTCAACATTCTTCAACAGGTCTTGTGACTGTATGTGTGCAAGAGTCTTCATAGAGTGTACATCTAGGAGTAGAATTACTGGATCGTAGAATACGTTCATACTCACTTTCACTAGGTGGTGCAAATTTATTTCCCCAAAATAGTATAACATTATGTTCCTTCCTATAGTGTTTAAACGTTCCAGTTATTCCATAATCTCACCTACATTTGATAGCGGTTTTGCCTGTTTAGTAGTGTGAAGTGTTATAGAGGCTTTGTTTCTTGTTAAGGAGGTTTTGTACCGTTTTGAGTGTTTCTTGGTTTTAGGTTTCCTTTCTGTAGAGTTCCCATTAGAGTCTTGGAAATGTTTTATTCTGTAGTTTCTTTTAAAGAAGTTGGCTTGTAGAGTTCCTTATGTAGCCTGACCCATTGTCATTTACGTGTATTGCAAGTGTCTTTCATTAGTTTGTGGTTTCTGTTCTCATTCTGTTTGTGGTGTCTTTCTCGAATTAGAATTTTCAAATTTGTGTCAGATTCATCCTCATACAACCTCAATCCAGAATCATGAAAATATTAGCCTATATTTTCTTACAAAAGTTCTATGATTTTTGTCTTTCACATTTAAGTCTGTAGTACACCTGCTATTGATCTTTGTGTAAAGTGAGAAATAATACTTTTTTACTTTTTGATCAGCTGTTTCAACACCATTTTTTGAAAAGTCCCATTTTCTTCCTCTGATCTGCAGTTAACTGTCATAAATTTTCGTATTTATGCTTTGTGTCTAGGTTTTCTTTTCTATTTTGTTAGTCAGTTTATGGATCCCTGTACTAAAACTACCCAACCTTATTTACTATAGATACAATAATTCTTGATTTAGTAAGATAAGTCCCTTCAACTTAAATTTCAGTAATTTCTTGGCTATCCTTGGACCATTGACTTTGATACACAGTTTAGAATCAGCTTCTTAGATTACATATACACAGTCCTCTTGGGTCTTCCTTTGGAATCACTGAATTTATAGATCAGTTTGTGTGAGAATTAACATGTTTATGATATGGAGTCCTCCAATCCATGAATAGGGTACTTCTCTCCATTTATTTATTTATTTAATGTCTTAATAAAGATACACAATTTTGTTTCAAGCATCTTTTGATTTATGTGTAGATATTTTATATTTTTCAATGCTGTTGTATTGTTTGTTAAAATCACTTTTTGCTCCATTATTGATTTTTGTACATTACTTAAATCCCACTGACTTGTGATTGTTCTCAATTTTCAAATAGACAACCAGATCATCTTTATAAAGACAGTTTATTATTTCCTTTGGGTTTCCTTGGGTTTCCTTTGGGTTTCCTTGGGGTTTGTTTTTATTTTGCCAGATATGCTGGTTGGGACCTCCAGTACAGTGTTGAATAGAAGCCGCGAACAGGAGTAACCTTATTTCTTGTTTTATTGCCCATTTATAGTCATTTTTAATAAATGGCTTGGTGTACTTCAAAAAAATATATATTCTGTTCAGCATAGTATTCTGTAAATGTCATTTGAATCAAATTTTTTATTGTATTCAAATCTAATATAGTCTAAGTAAGCTTTTTTTTGTATGCTCTTATGATTTTCAGCAAAATCTCTCAATTTGATAGTAGAATGTCAGTTCATTATAGGTCTTTTCAATTTTTCCTTTGTATATTTTGATGCAGTGATGCTACACTTTAGGTTCCCTGTGTCTGCTTGGTGATTTGAACCTTTAACATTATGTGGGAACCCCCTTTGTATTCTTTGCTTCAAAGTCCATTTGGTTTGATATTCCTATAGCTTTTTGGGGGGGGGATTGGTGGTCACCTAGTGTATCTTTTTAAATTTTTATTTTAGAAGCTAATTTGGGGGTATTATATCTGCAGGGAGATTTTTGTATTCCCTTCCTCCCCATAGCAAGTTTGATAACAGGCAATTTTCCTTGTGTTCTCTGGGTGAATGGGGACGGTGGTAAAGTGGATTATTTCTAGTTCATCCTTAATGAACTTGATGAAAATACAGGTTTTCCAGTTAAGACCCTCCACTTAAGGAAAGGCTTTTTCTTCTTCCTGTAACCCTGCTATCCCCAAATCTCTTTATTTTACTTGGTTAAGCAAATACTCTCAAGCTGAACCAGGCTTCAGTGTTTACCTACCTTCTTAGCTTCTCATTTTCTTTTCCTTTTTGGACTCTAGTATACATGTTTAACTTAGCAGCTCAATGCATTTTTTAAAAAATGCTTCTAATACTTAACATATATAATAATAGTTTTCTGCGGGAAAATTGTCCTGAGGCATTCTAGGAAAGAATCTACGGTCTATAGTGGCTGTGTCATGCATGTGGTTCTCTGTGCCTTGCTTGCAGTTCTTAGCCCTGTATTCACGGGAGGAAATCAGTAGAATTTTCTCATTTAAAGGCAGCTTAGGTTTCTAAAGTAGTGTATAGTCTATCCTGGAAAAATGCTCTATCAGTACAAGCTAGTATTCTGTTTTGAACTGAAAACAATGCACAAACTTGTATGCCTTGCTCATTCAAGTCCTCCAAGTCACAAACATTGGCAAAAGCACAGTAATTGTAAGGCATGGGATTGAAAGGAAGAAATTAGCTTTTTTAGTTTATTTTGATACTTAGACAAAAAAAATAAACATTGAACAATTGTCAAGCATACTTGGTTTGTTTTAAAATTATTCTTGTTCATAGAGATTATTTTTTTCTTGCAATCTCTGTATTTTAATAAAATAATAAAGCCCCACATATTTAAGTTTGAACATGTTGCCAAAAGAGGGCACTATTCACCCACTGTAGGATGTAAAGGGACTGAAAAATTACTGGAAAGAAGGCAAATAAATTTATTTTCCTTCATAAGGTTGATAAAGTTTGACAAAACTAGATCTGCAATCATTAGATTTGTCTCCCAGTCTGGTCATCTGGGATTGTTTCCTACATTGGACCATCCCAAGTTTTAACTTGTTTTTCTATTACTTTTACATTTTTTAAAGTGCTAGTTTAGGGATAAGATTTGTTTGGAAATTTTAGGCTTTAAGGTTAAAACCAAAAACCTTTTCTAAACACCTGCCTAGAGTGACCAAAAAACTCGTGTTTAAGGCCTATTTGTTGGAGTCTGTCTTTGCCAGTGTCCTCAGGGCTGCTCACCTCAGTGACCCATGGCCAGTTAAACCTGGTGAAAAATGCGTCTACAGCCAACGGTGCGGCCACTGAGCCCAGCGGTGGCTCGGCCTCGTTCTACTTTACACATATGTTTGTCTATCAGTTTGTCTCCTCTGCATGTTGGTATAGGAGTTCATGGTGTAGACATTAACAGCTTTAAATATTAAAGGAAGAAATTGGAAGTAGCTGGTTTGAATCTCATGAGTGAAATGCTTTGGGCTTCAGGTGTAGAATATATAGGAAGAAATGAAACCATTTTTTGAAAGCATACTTTGGAGCAGGGAAGGAAAATGCGAGCCTAGATCAACTAATTAGAACTCTGTCTGCCCTTTAGGATTTGGTAATATTGCCAGATAAAGACTGTTCTGCATTGATTCAATAAATAATCAACTTGCGCTTCAAAAGGACAGCTAGGGGGAGAAAAAAGCACAACTAGGGGCTAAGAGGCTGGCGCTTACATAATATGTGCAGTGGAAGCAACTTTGGAAAAGTTTCTATTTGCATTATGCTGCCCAAATAGAGTACGTTTGTTCCCTAAAGCGGCTTTGGCACGGACAAGCTTCTCCGCGTCCCTGAGAATCCAGCGCCCCCTAGAGGCGGCGGGCGTCCTACGCCCTGTAATGTGATCTCCCTGCTCCTGGATTGGTCAGAGGCTGAGTTTTCCCTGGGAGCTGCGCTTAGCTGGGGCTCCCAAGCCCCGCTCCGCTCTGCACGGCAGGTCCCGCACCGCAGCCACCGCCGCCGCCGCCACCGCTGCTGCTGCTCCTGCTTCTTCGCTTCCAGCAGCTGGTGGAGCGATGGAGTCCAGACTCTTCTGCTGGACCACTTGCTTTCTCCTGGTCGTGTGGTGCCTGCCAGTGCTACCCTGCCCTAGCCGGTGCCTTTGCTTGAAGAGCACCGTCCGCTGCATGCACTTGATGCTGGATCACATTCCTCAGGTGCCGCAGCAGACCACAGTCCTGTAAGTTCACACAGGTTCCCGTTCAGCACTTTTGCATTGCCCTCTACTGAGACTGAGCACTTTTCTTTTAACCTAGATTCCTGATGCGGTCTCTGCTGTACAATCGGAAGAGGGTTTTCACGTTTCAAACAACTCAGTGGTTCTGCTTTGTTAGACTAGAAAATGTGAGCAATGATGATTTGAAATAAATATATTTACACTAGGTGCTGTTATCTTTTCCAACATCTTCCAGAACTTACTGTTGAGAATTTTCATCTCCAATTTAAGAATATTTCTGCATAGATTCTCAGATTATTCCTTTCATCCTCTCCAAAATCCTTTGGACTCCTAATTAGGTCACCATGTGTCTGTCCCATTTGAAAAGAACTGATTTAGCTTCGTAATGTGCTTCCAACTTATTATGTGCTGGCAATTTGCATTTCTTCTGTTCATTGTTGGGCTTTGTATTGCGTGTGCCGCTCAGGTGGGTGATGCTGTCAACCTCAGGCCCTTAAAGGACTAATGGTTTAACAGAGCAGACCCTGTCCAGTAGAGCACTGGGTACTTGGAAACCTTCTGGAGCAGTGACTTAATCAGCATCTAGGAGGTGTTATGGGATGGTAGTGGGATGGTAGAATAAACCATAATACAGGTATCAGATGGACTTGGGTTCAAATCCTTGTCAATATGGAGATAATAAACCTGTACCATCGAATTGACATTTGGATTAAATTAAATATGTGTGAAGTGCGAATCTTTTATTATAATTTTCAAGTCCTACATCACAAGAGAAGGAAAAACACTGAAAGGACATGCTGATTTGAAGGGTTCACCTCTCCATGGTAAAGTTTTTGCAGATTATGTCATGTCCATGGAAGAGAACTCTTTTCACTGTTCCAAGTCCATTCTTGAGCAGAGTGAAATAGCTTAGCATTCCTGGGATTTTGAGATATGAGATAAAATCAGCACTGTATTTTTTTTTTTTTGGTCATAATCATGAAATGAGGAATCTAGCTTGGTAATGAAAAGAAGTTAGTGGTTGGTAGTTGTGTAGAATAAGAGATAGGTATTTGCCATACATCTTTATGGTAATTTTTATTAAGCATTTTGTTTGTTTCATATGCTTACAAATAACAAAATAAGTCCTACTTTAAAAAGTAATAAGACAGGTTCTGGAATCTGGGACCACTGCACCATCAGCACAGGCAATCAGCACAGCACCAGAAAGACCTTTGGACTTGTAGCCATCCCCGTGTCATTTTGTAATAGTGGTTTCTGATAGAGAGTAACAAGAGCCTTAACAGAAGGGGCAGCTTGTCTAATCAAGTGCCACAGACTTAAATAAAAGGCTACCTAAGGTCCAATCTGGACCTAAAATTTTGATTCTTAGGTGTTTCAAAGAAATAATTAGCACTCATTAGATACTCTCTTCCTGACGTATGGACAGAACTGAAAGGACACTCTTGATGTACTTGTGAAGAGCCTTCCACTACATGTGGAAATAAGCCCCAATGGTTGGGTTCTCAGGTTCCAGACTGGGTCTGCTGGAAAGACAGATACCCCTACAGACGAAATGTGTGTTGCCATGGGTGAGTTCTTGGCTTCTTGATGTCTCGGTTTCCTTTTCCATAAAATGGGAATGCTAATAAGTGTTCACCCTCCAGGGTTATTCTGAAGATTAAATGAGTTAGTGCATGCTAAATACTTAGGACAGTGTCTGGCCCTACTAAGCACTATGGAAGGGTCCGCTATTATGTTTACAATTAAGGATAGCAGCTGCAAACTCAAATACGTCCAGGAAGCTAGCTGGTAAAGTAATGCGAGGTGGATGGAAGTAGGTGGATGAAAGACAAACCACTGCGTGAGCAGTATGATGGACTGCAAACAACCTCGGCTTGGGTCTGTGGGGGCCGCGAGGAGGGAGAGGCGAGCCAGTGGCAAGGCCCGGCCAGCCCCTGAGCTCATCGCTGCCCTGTGGGAATTTGGGCGTATTGTTAATGAGCTTGCCATATTTTTCAAGAGGATATGGAAGTCAAAAATGAAATAGCCTAACTTTTAAATCTTAGAGGATAATTAAAATTTTTTTATGTGAAAGGCAACAGCACACAGGCCCAACCACACATATTTGTAGGTTACTTTTATCCCAGGACCTTCCGCTTGTGACCTCTATTAGAGAAATAGTATAAAGGCCAAGAAATATATGTAAAGTTTATAAAAGTTGGTGCACTTTACTTCTTTTGGGCTCCAAATCCTTGACATAGGATTGTTTTCAAGTAAGCAATATCATGAAGGTACACTACTAACTGCATTAAGATAAGAATTCTGAAAGAGAAAGAGCCAATCAGCCTTTGGAAGCTAAGGCAAATGGAGCCGGGCCCAGTTCCTCCCTAGCAGCAGCATTGAGAGTTTTTGTTAAACCACACTTAAATATATATGTGTTGTCATCCTAACTGTGGAAACAAGATAAATAAACATAGCGAAAGTGCTTAGTAAATGTTAATTAGTAGTAGTATAACTTTCTTGAGTTTGTCTTTACATGTTTTTAAAATTTTAACCTTAGTACAGAAAATACTTTTCTCAACTGTAGATAAGGAAACTCCACTATACTTAATGATTGATTATGGTTAGTGTTTCAAGTTTAGAAAAATGAAAGAACTACTCCCCCTAATTTTAATTTAATTCCATCTATAAAGCTATCATTGGGTATTCAAAGCAAATATCATTTACCAAATAGGCCACTACCATTTAGAAACTCTCATTCCTCATGCTGTGTATTTTAGTAAAGCAAATCTTTCAGAATTGGAATTAGCAAACAAAAAATTTCTAGTAATGAACTTTAGGGAGCCTGTTCAATAATCAGAAGTCCTGTGTAGCTTTAGTTGATTTTACTTCAGCCCCAGGTCATTAGGTTGCACCTCTAGAATCTCAGCTGCTGTTTAAGAAATGTGATGTTCTTTGAATTCCCAGGAGTAAAAGACTGAGCCTTGGTTGAACTCAGGGACTGCGATTAAATAGACTCTAAAAACCATCTCAATTCCACTAGAAAAATGTAAAAAATGAGAATTTCCCCAAAAGTTTTAAATTTATAAATATGTAGAGTGTGAAGTTTTAACTATTTAAGGCATTTCCTTTATGTACAAACCTTGCCTAGCCCTCCAGATACACCCACCTTGGGAGGAAGGCTGGGGGTGGCAAATGGGAAAATGACAAGTTCAGTCATGAAAACATTTATCCAGCTGATAGAAATGTCGTCATCTTGTTCAAGAAGAAAATAGAATTCCTTCAGCTCTTTCCAGTTTCCAATCCAATCAGACAAGTAGTTTTTTTTCTTAAATTTAACCCTCAGGGGTTACTTTGACCTTTGAAACAGATTTTTTCATAACTTTTTTGCAACTGACATAACTTGCTGGCTTTGAGTTATCACTTAGTGAGCAGGCCAGGACTCCCTAGACGCTTTCCCATTTGGCATAGTTGAAGGGAAGCATGAGGGACCCAGCTAAACTATATCTAAATTCAAACCTACCCCAGTTGTTGACCAGTTGGGGAGAGTAATGGAACTAAAAGTTGAAATACGTTTCCTATTTCATTGCCTACTTAGTAAGTCAGGGTACACTATTTCAGCAAATGCCTCCAGTCTTGGGGGCCTAACATGATGCAGCCTCACCACCCTAATGACTCAGGACGGCTTGGTCCTCAGAGAGGAGCTAGAAGAGGCTGTTCTAGAAGGTGGGTTGAGTGTTCATGGAGCCCACGTGTGGATCTCGGGTGGAGGAACAGTGAGGAGAGGGCAGGGCTAGATACATGGGGGGATAAACACTGCCAGCTATTGGCATCACTGTCCAGGGTGTGACCCACCCCTGATGTCTGGGAGTCATCCTTCAGTCAAACCAACCTACAGGAGAATTAGTTTAGGGGATAAATGAGTCCCTTCTGGACATATTAATTTGGGAGTCTCCCGTGGGACAAATAGTTGAAGAAGTCCAGCAGGTAGTTATGGGGACCTGGCGATTTAGATCTGTGCTGTTGAGCATTCCCCTAAAGCACCAGGGAGGGTGCAGGGCAGAGGCGTGGGACAGGAACACACCACTGAAGGGGAGAAAGTGAGCTGGCCAACTCAGGGAAGGCAGCAGGATGTTTCCCAGAAGGGTGTGACCGAGGTATGGCAGAGTCCAGCTTGGACAGTGAAAGGCAACCTGACGATTGGATGGTGCAGATGACTTAGCAAAAGCAGCTTTGCCAGATAGGAATAGAAGCCAGATTGCAAGGATTAAGGAGTAAGAGGCTTGCTTTCCCAGATTTCAGAACTTGGCCTCCACCAAGGAAGTGTTAGCATCCCCATCCCTGAGTCTTGGTATCCTCATCGACAAAATAGGAATGAATAATTGCCTAGTGATGCCAGGATCCAAGTGATCTCGTCTCAGGATTTCCTACAATAGCCTGTACTTAGATGATATATGCTGATTAAATTAATGGAAGAGAATAGTGTTTTCTTTTTTTATTATGTTCAGTTAGCCATTGTGAGAATAGTGTTTTCTATACTGAACTCTGCATTTTAATCCCTACTATAGATTCTATAAGGGAGATGAAGGGAAGCATTGCACAATAACAGCTTTTCGGGCAATAGTTAATATGAGGCTGCAAAGGTGAGGTCCCTGTTCTAGTTAGAGAGCTAGTGCAAAAAGTTGAGTAACAGTACAGGTCTGATGCAAGAAAGACCAATCTGTTTTGTATTTATGGAGTAAGAAAGGATGGTGAATGTCCTGGTTTGTCAACTTGATAGGGTAATGTAAACAGTGAAAGTAAATGACAAACAGGGAAAAATCTGAAGAATAGGGAAAATTTGAGTTTTACTCGGGCATCCTGGTGGAGAGGGTAGAGGCTTAGGAATATAGTAAGCTTGGGAGGCAAGGGATACGATTTTGAGAGTCATTGGGATAATCGTGTGCAATTAATTCAGCTGGAGGGAGGAAATGTGCTTTCCCAGGAGGCGCTTGTAGAATGAGACAAGTCTGCATAGGCTA